AACTATATTTTTGTGTTCATAAAATAATTCTATATACAAATTTGCCCTACATATTTGGATACAATAACCCACATCTTTTCGTATTTATGATATTTTTTGATATTTACAAAACCACCTCAAGACTTTCTTAATTTACCAAATTACCTCACATCTTTTGGTATTTTCGAAATAGTCCAATATCTTCTATTATTTACTAGAATGTCTCATATTTTCTCAACTTAAACAATTGACCCACATCTTTTCGTTTTATCAAATAACCTCATATCTTTCAATATTTACAAAACCACCTCAAGACTTTCTTAATTTACCAAATTACCTCACATCTTTTGGTATTTTCGAAATAGTCCCATATCTTCTATTATTTACTAGAATACCTCATATTTTCTCAACTTAACAATTGACCCACATCTTTTCGTATTTATCAAATAACCTCATATCTTTCTATATTTACAAAACCACCTCAAGACTTTCTTAATTTACCAAATTATCTCACATCTTTTGGTATTTTCGAAATAGTCCCATATCTTCTATTATTTACCAGAATACCTCATATTTTCTCAACTTAATAAATGACCCACATCTTTTCGTATTTATCAAATAACCTCATATCGTTCGATATTTACAAAACCACCTCAAGACTTTCTTAATTTACCAAATTACCTCACATCTTTTGGTATTTTCAAAATAGTCCCATATCTTYWWTWATTTACCAAATTACCTCACATCTTTTGGCATTATCGAAATGGTCTCATATCTTCTATTATTTACCAGAACACCTCATATTTTCTAGTATCTACGTAAACTCATTACTTTTTGTACTTATCAGATGGTCCCGTTTCTTTTGGTATATACCCAAGTACCCCTTGTTTTTATGAGAAAACGATCATTTCAATGTACATTTGTTTTGCATCAAAACACATATCATATATTTAACAAGTCAAAATATATACTTAAGCTAATTCGGCCGAATTAAGTATAAAATTAGTGAACTTTAACACCCATTTACAATTAGAAACTGAGGGTATTGAAATGTGAAAGTTCTCTCCCAGGCACAGGAATTGAGGAGTCGTACCGCATCTCCAGCCGTACTCAGAATGGAAGCTTCTCTAGTTTCCGATCTCTTTGTCCTCCGCCGGTGACCTTACACGCCGTCCTTCCATTGAGACGGTGAGTTCTCTTTCGTGTCGAGCACCCTGGGGCTCACCGGACAACATATGGCGTGTAGATCAGAACTCCGTGTAGTCTTTCCTTTGTTCGTAGCTAGTCCTGTTAATGAGAAACCTTCCACGACCGCCAGAGCCACCCAAGCCGCCGAATCCACCAGATCTTTTCGGATTTTTTGCAGCGTAGCACAGAATCCTTCCAACATTTGCTTCTGTGTTACCACCATTGTCTGTGCCGCACCTCCATTTCGCCCCAATCTCAGTCTCCGACTTCACCGCCTACTCCGTCGGATACAAGACCCACTCCCTCGCCGAGATCTGATGCAACCTTCTCTGTCTCAGTAGAAATCTCGCTCGCTGGTCATGTCTCCTCTGGCACAAGATTCGAAGCTACACGGAATTCCCGTTTCTTCTCATCCCTCGGACCACTAACCGCTGATCCTCTTTCGGTCCGGCGTAAATCACCGAGACAAAATTTCCCGAAACCTTACCTCTCTTGCGCTAAACTTCTATGGGCCTGGCCCAACCTGATTTGTGAGTTTTTTAGCCCATCAAGATCATGCCCTAGTAGCCCATTCTCTAGTCCTTCTAAGATTAATTTCCAAGAAGACTCTCTCGGCACTTCTGCCCAGAATTTTGTCATGGGATATACTAGGATGGCTATCTTCCCAATCTTCTCCCTAGTGGAAAGATGTTACTGAACTTCATCCCTACTCGCGGAGAGATCAATTTCAGTCTCTTTTCCCTTTGGAAAGAGATCTATGACACCATCTTCCATGCATTCTAAGACCATGTCATGTTCTGTTTTCTACTTTGTTATGATTATTCGATTCAACACAATGCTGGCTTTATCATGGATGTGTTTTGAGCTCGATACCTTCTCTATTGTGAGTAGATCAAAGTTTTTTGGATTCTCAAATCATGTATTTTATGCGCCCGATATCTTCTTTGTTGAGAGAAGATCAAAATTTTCTTGATTTTGAAATCATGCACCTTCTTCCTTTTTGGAGAGAACTCGATCACGGTTCCTTCTCCTGGTGGAAGTAAGGTTCTTCTCGGATTTAAATCCGATCGATTCCCTAACCATCATGAGGAAACTCAGAGGTATGGGTAGTCTTCCAAAGTCACGACTCAAAGTGGCTAATCCAATGGTCTCCGGCATAGCCGTAAAGACGATATTGACGCATTTGAGGCCTTCCTCGGAACCGATGTCCATCATTCGCGATGATTTATCTGTTCTAAGTTTTATTGCATTTAATTTATGTTGTTGAATTTTAAGAGGATGCTTAATTCCCTCTTCTTGTATGTTACAAGTTTAAGTTAATGAAGAATGTGTTGAACAAAAAAAAAACACCCATTTACTCTTGACGTTAAACAGAAAACAGAAAAAGAAGCCGAAATCCTAATTACTAAATCTCTAGTTCTCTCTTCCTCATGGTTTTTATCTCTCTCGTCATCTACATTTTTGTCTTTTATGTTC